AGGTCGGTCAAACCTCTTCTGGAGGTGATTCTACAAGCTGGAGCATCATACAGGTGGGGTCACCCCTTTAGCATTCAGATTCGGAAGGGCTCTGACCAGTTTCATCTTCGCAGTCCTGCTCAGCTTGCGGATCTATTCCTGTTTCTTTAGGAGATTGGCCAGTTCCTGGCAGTCCACACGGAAGATCCTACCCCTCTCCCGACTCAATGGGAAGCCCTTAAGGCAGTTCTCAGGGGCGTCCTCATCCAACATGGTTCCCGGCTGAAGCGAGAACGATCCCAGGGTATCCGGGAGACCCTCCAGTCTCTCAGGGACCTTGAGACTCGCCATAAAGGGTCGCCTGACCAAGAGGTTCTGCTGCAGATCTCCCAGACTAGACAGAAGCTACTGGGGTTGTTAGATCTCTCCACCCGTAGATATCAGGATAAAATGGCTTATCGTACATATGAGACTGGGGATAAATGCGGCAGAGCCTTGGCCAGGACCTTACATCCTAGGTCCACGCAATCCTTTGTGTCCCATATTAGGGCATCGTCGCGTGAGCTGATACATTCGCCTCTAGCGATCCAGCAGGCCTTTGTGTACCCGCAAGTACCAGACACCTGTTGGCGTTGTCAGGCCTCCTCGGGCCATATGACTCACATCTGGTGGAGCTGCCCCCCCGATCAAGGAGTTCTGGCAAAAAGTGCTGGATGTCTATCACCGAGTGACGGGTTCTGTGACCCCTAATGATCCCAAGATTACCCTGTTGTCTATGATACCAGGCTCTCTGAAATCGGTAAAACGGGGGCTCTTACGGCACTTTCTGACAGCGGCAAGGGCGGTTATACCCCGTCACTGGCGTACGCCAGTTGTCCCCTCTTTGGCGGAATGGACTCTGGAGATGGACCGCATTGCGGACTTGGAACGATTGATGGCTGATGAACGTGACACGGGTACGAAATACACTATCACATGGTCCGTGTGGCTTGACTTTCGAGCCTCTACCGGGTTCTCGGCTGAGATCACCCCCTGACTTCTATAATGGTGTGTAGCGCAGAGGAGGGGGGAAAGGCGTTTGTAACCCTTCTTGTGAGCTCCTCTACTGGGCGACGTGTCCCCGGTGGGGTATCACCTCATCCTCCCATCCCTACCTTGTCCTACTGTCTTCATCTTCCTCTCCTTCCTTCCCCCTACCTATGTGTTTTCATCTTTCAGTCTCTCTTAATCTCATTGTTTCTACCTGGCTCTTATACCTTCCACTTCACCAGGGAGTTCTGCCTTCAAAAGTGTATGATTACGTAGTAGTAGTAGATTATGTAGTAGTTATCCTATGACCTCCATTATACCGGTACTTCAGTATTATAGGAAGGTTGGTACAAGCCAGTTTACCCTTACATTGTAGTTGTTACTCTGGATACCTCCGTCATGGAGGCGGCATTGTTCTAGTGCTCCTACAAAGGACGCCATGTTTAGCCTTTTCTGTTGATGTTCACTTACTAACCTGACCGCATAGATTGGATGGTGCCTACATCTAGATGTAATACTAGCCTATGTTAACCTGCGAAATGTGCATTTCTCACACATACTCAAGTTGTACGATGATAGCTGTCCTCTTGGGATGCTATGTTTGTTTATGTATATCTGTTTGTTTGTGAAAAACCTCAATAAAAACTTATTGAATTAAGAAGAACTCCAGGATTTTTTAATTGCAAGGGTTAAGTGCTTGTTTGTGTCTAGGTTAAAAAAAAACAAAGTTATACTCACTTAAAGCTCCAAGCCGGTCCTTCCAACGTCTCTGCCCCTCCTCTGCAGCTGTCTAAGGCCCCATAAATCATCACATCTATGCACAGTGTATAGACATGAGGACGCTGAGGAAGATTACAATGCTTCAGGGAGGGGGGGGGGCAGGCTGGAGGGAGTGCTGTGACAGCTGGCCGGCTCGCAGCTTCTGGTGAGTATATCTTTGTTATTTTAGCACCTTGACACACGCAAGTACTTAACCCTTGTAGTTCCGGGGTAGCCCCACTGAAGGGTTAATGAAACAAATCCTGGTGTTCTTCTTTAAGCTGATTGTACACTGTAATATTTTCTTTGTTCAACCCGTTGCTGAACATAGAAAATAAAAACATTCCTCCATCAACGCTTACGATGATCAAGGAATTTCCTGCTGTCTTCATTGTATTGTGATGGAGACCTCTGTCAGAATACCTGTTCATTTGAAGTTTTTTCAACCAGCTCCTTCGATCAGCTGATCGAGGGAATTCTGGCCGTAAGAATGCCAACAGCGGCAGCCACTGTGAGAATTTGCATATTGTGTGGTCAGCATTACATGAGAATTCCCTGGTGGGGTCCTAGAAAATGGTAATGAAATATGTTTTGATTAATGATAGATTAGTCATTTCTGTATTATTAAAATGTATATAGACATCTATTATGATGACTGCTGTGTGTTCTGCATTCCATAACTAATAGGAGCTACTGATGAAGCCCAAATTTCCAGAGACTCACAGTTTGTAAATGTCGCTTTCCTGAAATCATTGAGTAATTTGTTATCTTAGAACTCATTTGCATCAGCGATTCCCCCCAAAGGTCTTCTGGAAATGATAAAACCCCTCATTTCATGTTTCCCCTTGTGAATGCCAAGCACTCAACAAGTTTTGGAGAAGGATTGTGAGACTCGCCTAACTTCCAGCATCACGCTAAATTACAAATCGGGGGCGGTGTAATATGCTTTCGCTCCAGACTCATTGACGGAGCAGTTTATCTTTTACGATATAAGATTTTATTAGGTCAGTAAATCACAGAAACGGTTATTGGGCAGAATATGCAATGGGCCCGAGATGTAACTACTTTATTAATTTTATTTCTGGTGAAATAATAATGACCCCTCTGATGTTAAATCACATCTGCGCTATCTGTGGAGGAATCCCGCAGCAGTCAGAGACTCTGCTCATATTAAAGAGGAACTCCAGCCTAAACGAAACATTGTCTAGAGCTGCTAGAGTTTCTGAAGACTCTGAGGGCTGTGAATATGTAGATTGGCTGAACATCTTAACCAGACATGTTAGACTGCATTAAACAGAGGGCTCCACTGATTAAAACATTTCTGCCCAGGGGCCACATTGGATCTACTTAGCGCCACACCTCTCTATTTACATAACATTTAAATACATTTAGGGGGCTATTTACAATGGAGTTGAAGGATCCAGCCTAGCTTCGGCTAATCCTTTGGCTCTCTTCGGCCACCTCTGCCCTTTGGTTCAGTCAAACCGAAGGGCTGCTGTATGGGCTATTCACAATAGCCCGGACAGCAGCCAAAGGCGGCCGAGCGGCTCAGCTGAGCCGAAGGCATTTGCTTCGGCTCGACTGAGCCGAAGTGTCAGCCAAAGCGGGGTGAACGGCGCGCTGAAGGCCGGCCTTTCGCCCCGCAGGTGACAGCTGGGCGGAGCCAGCCGTGATCTCATGGCTGGCTCCGCCCAGCTGTCATTTGCAGGGCGAAAGGCCGGCCTTCAGCACGCCGTTCACCCCCGCTGATCTCACGGCTGGCTCCGCCCAGTTGTAACAGCAGATTAGCGCCCCCAAATGACCTGGGGACGCTGAACTGTCATTACACAAACAACTGGGCCGAGCCAACTGTGACATCACGTCCGACACCGCCCAGTTGTTATTATATGGCTGGGACCTGCTAGAAGACTCTAGCTGGTGCCGGCGTCAGGTACCTGGTAAGAGCCTGAGATGAGGGTGGCCTCCCTTGCTTCTGTTGTCCAAACACCCCTGGTAATGGTGGACAGAGGGTGTAGGGATGGAAGAGGGGCATGAGTGTCTGATGAGGTGGATACACCCGGAGCTGGAGATGCAGGTGGACCAGTCTGAAGGACCATGATGACAGTCACTTCCTGGAATATGACGTCAGCAATGGGTGAAGCTGGCACCGGTGCAGAGCAGAGCTGAAGTAGGGAACAAGCCGGGTCACGATCAGGTGGGCAGCGAGGTACCAATCAGCAAACAGAGGCAGTGTCAGGAGCAGGCCGGGTCGGTAAGTAGCAGGCAAGGCAGTGTGGAATCAGCAAACGGAAGGAAGGTCCAGATCAAGCCAAGGTCAGGGGTAGGCAGCAATCAGCAGAGTCCAAGAACAAGCCGGGTCAATATCAGGAGAAACAGAATCAGTAACAGAGACACAGGAAGCAGGGCACTGGCTGAAGAACTCTCAGCACTGAGTTCATGCAAGATACAAGTTTAAATAGGCCTTTTGGCGCCATGATTAAACGTGAGTGCCGTTGCGCGTTAACATGGAAACGTGCGCATAGGCATCCGCACGCATGCGCACGATTACAAGCATTACCAACACGAAAACGTCTCACACGCGCATGCGCAACGGCTCCCACAGTACCAGTTTTATGACTGCTTGCTGGACTACTCTGACAGTCCGCCAATAGGAAACAGTAGGGCGGAGCTAGCCGTCACTGCTAGCTCTGCCCAATTGTTTTTTTTCTTTTCTTTAAAAAAAAATCTTTATTTATTTTTTATTTTTACTATTTATTGCCATTTTAAACATGTTTTTTCAACTTTTTTTTTTTGAGACTCTTTTTATTGATTTGCTATTCTGCTCGGCGTTATTTGGCTATTCACTCACTGCCGTTCGGCCGGACATATAAAAGTGTCATTCAAAATACCGCAGCGCTGAATACTGAAAAATGGCCTTGCCAGGAAGGGGGTGTAACACCCCGGTCATGAAGTGGTTAAAGTAAGTGGTTAAAGGGTTCCATAATTGAAAAAAGGTTTAGAAATGCTGGGCTATACCTTGACCTGGATAAATGAGAACCATCATAGACAATCCTCTCTGGCGTGCGTCACTCCCCGTCTTGGTGTGTTTCATATACTAAGGAGCTTTTACTTTCTGAAAATGCAGATTTCACTTGATTTGGGTAAAGAAAAAAAAGTGCAAATGACGTCCAACTTCAGATCAGCTAATACATTGTTTTTCAAGTGACTTTTCTATTACCTCTGTCTTTCTACAGATTGGACCCCGCATCTCCCTTTCCCTCTCAACACTGAAAAAGTAATGGAACCATTTTCATTTCAAAGCTGGCTGGATAAACATCGGTTAGAAATCATTCAGAAGAAATACTTACGTCTATTTGCAGATGATCAGGAGACAGAGGTATGACATCTCAAAGGTGAATGGAATGATTAATTAAAGTGGAACTATAAGCAAAAATTGCATAGATGTGACGGTCTCTCACTATTATTAACCCCTTCATGACCGAGGCCTTTTTTTTCCTTTTTTGTGTACATGTTATAATCCACATTTTAGGCCTGAAAATTACTTAAAACCCCCAAACATTAGATATTTTCTGAAAGACAAGACCCTATAGAATAAAATGATGGCAGTTGCAAATTTTTATGTTGCATGATATTAGCGCAACTCCTTATCAAACCCCAAAATGTAATGATAAATGCATTTGATTGCACCAAAACACAATAAAATACCCATTTTTAAAAATTAAAATATAAAAGATCAGGGTACAACGAGTAAATAGAGACCTAACATGCCCAGGTTAAAAATTGTCATCAGCGAAACTGCTTCAAAATTCAGTACCCCAAAAAGTCCATAGACGATGATTTAAAAGCCCCCACAGGTCATCAGTTTAGCATAAATATTGGCCCCAGAATTATTGCTCTCCATCATGCACGGCAATACCCAACATAGCTTACAAGCCCCCCATGAAATAGCATATTGGCAGTACTCTTTAAGGTGATACTGGGGGTCCAAAAGACCCCTACTATCACCTTACACTAGAAGCTATTAAAGTGCAGATCGCACCAGAAGTGATGTAAAGTGCATCGATCCCAGTCCCATAGTACGGGGCAGAGATCGGTGAATGGAGGTTCACCGAGCTCCTCCCAAGCTTCCCCCCGACACCAGAGAAGCCAGTCCTGCGCCCATATAAGGAGCAGGGGAGCCCAGGAAACACGACGGGGGTGTCGGGCGGAGGCCCGTTTACCGGCCCGTAGAAGCGGCAGCTGAGTTTGTTTAAAACGGGCCCGATGCCAGTGACGTATTACGTAAAATATAATACTGATGATCTGTGACTGGAGGACGAAGAAGAAAACCATGACATAAATACTCCAGAAAGAACCTGTTAGTGACGTTTGGTACAATGGCTGTTCATAGAAGCTTTAGATGACATGGAACAAATGAAGTTCACCCTCTGAGCCCTGAATGTATACACAGCAATATATCCTCTTCCACGGTATACACAGACTGTGTAGGAGCAGTGAATTGTAGCCTTTGCTCTCATCATACACAGAACATAATAGGTATTTATTGTATTCATTTATGTAGCTCTGGGAAATTCAGCAGAGCTTTATATTGGACGCAAACCATTTATATCATCAGTCCTGACTGCGAAAGGAAAAATAAAAGTGTGGAACCAGCACATGATGATCTTCCTAAAAAAGTCAAACTTTATTCCACATGCATCTATACATAGCACAACCGCTGACACGTTTCTGCCTTACTCGGCCTTAGTCGTAGCTGGGAACTTTCAGATTTATGTCCACACCACAATCCTATAGACACACATTAGGGCCAGTTGGAATAGATGCCAGTTCGTGCAAAACTGTTATGTGTAGAATAATTTAAAAATATATATTTTTAAAATCACATATTTGTCTATTTGTTAGCTTGTACTAAGCAGTAATTCAAGTTTTTTTCAATTTACATGTCACATTCAGACCTAGCTAAATTTGGTCTGGGCATTTAGGTTTTAATGACTTGTGGTCAATAAGGAGGTTATATGACACCTTCAATAGCAAAATAAAATACCAGTCTGTGTTTCTATCCTTTTAACTAATAGTATTCAAATGGAATAGTAAGTTCATAGTGATTCTGGCAGGGAGGAAATTAATACAATGTACTTTAGAAATGTAGCTTTCTAGGAATAGGTGGAGAAGCATTTTCTGGAAGTCCTTTTCAGGGTCCTCGATGTTCTGAGCACCTCCCCGTTATGATAACTTTGCACAACTTTGGACAAACTTTTCGCAGAATATGAAAAACATGGTATATCACAGCAGTAGGTGGTTGTAGGGTGATAGCTGATTGTCATCACCACCAATAACCAAACCAAGTAAATGAAATTATGTACTCATAATATCCATCATCAAACCACTAATCTCTTCACAGTGTCACAGTAGTGGGGTTCATCTGCAGGCATTAAACCTTGGCACAAGAATATTAAAGTGCTTGCACACTACTCGTATTTCTTATTAAACTCTATATAGTAAACCTGTATTTTGAGTTTCAGGCTGCAATGTATGGATCAGGAGAAAGCAAACATGAAGCATCAGACACAGACACATGGATTTGGCAAATGGTGAGTTTGGCTGTAGCATATTTAAAGTATATCTGTAGGTAATAATTTAATTTTGGAAAGAGCGGGGAAGGGTTAGAATTTCTGTCAAGTTGTATTGCTCGAGAAGAATTATCATTTTATTTATACTGGTGGCCATTGTCACTAAGAAAGTGACAGCTAGCTGCGCCCAACTGTTTCCTATTGGCCAATAAATAACAACTGTAGGGCTCCCGCAACCGAAGCTTCGGCTGATCCTTCGGCTAGCTTTGTGAATAACCCTCTTAGAGTCTTCCCCAGAACATGATGAGGGGAAATCATCCAATGAAAGCACCTGTTCTGGGGCCAATTTTCTAAGAGGGCAATTCCTCTCACTTTGGAAGATTTCCTCTAACTTCCTGTTATATTTCAGGGATATAGGGATGCACCGACACCAAGTACAGTACTCGGTACAAGTACATGTACCGATACTTTTCGAGCTCCTAGACTAGATTAGAGAAAAACTCAAAAGTTAGGAGTCAGCTGTCATTTGTAAGGAGCACACGGCGCTCCTGGGATTTGTACATCTCTGTTTTAATGTATGATTTTGTTTTATAGATATAAATAAAGGGATGCACCGATACCAGTTTTGCGAGTACAAGTAATGATACTTGCCCAAGTCCTTACAAGTACGAGTACTGATAAATGTTTGTTTGTTGTCATGTGACAGTTTTTCTAAAACAATATCGATAATGATTTCAGGACAGTGGTGGAGCACCAGAGCTAGGTTCCAGCTGCAATCGCTGCAACCCTGGTAGTTCTCATGAAAATGCCAAGTATCGGCATTGGTACTCGAAAAGTATCGGTGCATCCCTATCCAAAACCAATAGTCTGTTATTTTGTCTTATTATTGCAGGAGGGATCATCTGTTATATTTCTTGGTGATAAAGGTGTGCCATTGTCCAATGGACACAGTCTTCTCGTCCCAGAAAGGAGCCAGTAAGTGTAGAGATAGTATAGAGACACTGCTTTGATTTCTATAGCTTTTAACTGTCACACACTGAGCTTCACCTTTATCTATATACATATATTTTGTATTTATATTAATGTATATATCAAAGAGAAAATCAGTTCTTCTGCCTTGCCAGAGAGGTCTGTGCTGTATGGCAGAGCTATGTAAATCTCAGAACTGGTTAGACAGAAATACAAATTATTTGCCAACTTAACCAGCTTCTATAAATGTATTTAATCTGTGTATTTAGCTGTTTGCCTAGAGTTCAGTATTTAAATCTATCTCTTATATGAAGAGTGAACCGGCATGTGATAAGCATGAGCTATTAGTACCTCTTGCCATTTTTGCTTAGTTTTGCATTGGATTTTTAAATAATGTACTTTTCATGAATCAGAAGGAATTATAATGTCATGCTACAAGATAATTGCATTGCTGCATATCTTTTTTTTGTTTTAAAGTTTATCTTTTAACTTTATATTAAAGATAGATTGTCTTACTAGTTTTCTATGTATCTAAAAGATAATCATTGTCCAAAAATGCTAAATATTCTTTCAGGGACTGCACTTTGTAGAGTTCGTAGGGTACCACCCAAGCACACCGGCAAAAAATGTATTGGTTGTGCTGGATGGACTTTTTCGGTTTAGCCAGCAGGTGGTACTACAAGTTAATGCTGAGATTGAAGGTTCCATTATGGGGAGCTGGAGGTGAAGGGGGATTCACATTTTCTGTGAATGGAGGTATCAGCTGGTATACTAATGTGACCTTAAATCACCTAACTTCACCATACCAACACTTTTTAACTTTTTGTTCCCTTCATACTCCCCTCATAGAATGTTTTTTATTGTCTAGCTTTCCTGATCATACCAAATAATTTACGGTAAGATTACAAAGCTCCATATGGACAAGATCGCATGGAACAGCTTTATTTCCTTATGACATGTTTTAACAATTGTTTGATTTGTTCTGGCGTTTAGTAATGTGGCACTTATGTTTATTTGAAAAGGAACCACTTAAAGGCATGTTCCAATTTATTGAATACATGCCAACATACTGCAAACTGAAATAATGTGCATTTATTACCTTTTTGCATTGGAGTATTGCAACTGTGATCAGTGGATAGGAGGTGCAATGCTCGGGCACTTGCAGACTATTACCTAAGCCCCAGGTCAGTACCAAGGTACCTTCGATGATGAAGCTGGATCAATGGACTACAAGTGCCATGATGTCATGGCACTTGTATGTCATTGAGAACTACAGGTCCCTCTGCCGAAGTGTGAGAAGCCCTCCAAGATTCAAGTAAATTAAGGGGAATGGTGAGTTGAGAGGTAGGGGGGCAAGGCTGCAGAATGATACCATGTGTAATGTTGAACCCTAAATAAGGGTGTAACATAAAACATGGTATGAAAGGTGGGTTATTCACAAAGCTGATGAAGGCAGCCGAGTGATTAACCAAACCGAAGTGAAGTGAGCCGAACGCTGTTCGGCTATTCACTTCAGGCTTCCGTACATCGACTGAAATCAGCCGTACATCGGCTGCCTTCAGCTGCACTTCGGTCAGCCGAACATGCTCTGCATGTTCGGCTGAGCTGAGTGCAGAAGGACTTCGACTCAGCCGATCCAACATCTGGATCAACTGAGCCAAAGCTCCGGCAGCTCACTCACTGCCGTTTGCCCCTATTCTCATAGGGGTCGAACGGCAGTGAGTGAGTAGCCGAATGCCGCCAAGCAGCATTTGGCTCGTCTATTCTGCTCGGTACCTCCGTGGTACCGAGCAGAATAGCAATTCAATGAAAAGAGTAAAAAAATAAAAAAAATAAAGTTGAAAAAATATTTTTTTTAAATGTAAATAAAAATTAAATCTAAAAAAAAAAAAAAAAATGATTTTTTAATAAAGAAAAAAAAAAATTAGAGTCTTCTAGCAGGTCCCGGCCAATGAATAACACCTGGGCAGAGCCGGCCGTGATGTCACAGTTCAGTGTCCCCAGTGTTGAGTGTAATTTGGGGACGCTGATCTGTCATTAGAACTGGGCAGAGCCAGCCGTGGTATCACGCCTGGCTCTACCCAGCTGTCATTTGCGAGGCGTCAACCAGCCTTAGGCCGGCCGTTTGCCCCAATTTGGCTGTCTCTTCGGCTCAATCGAGCCAAAGCATATGCCTGAATAGCCCGCACATCAGCCCTTCGGTTCGACTGAGCCAAATGGCTTCGGCTGATCCTTCACCTAGCTTTGTGAATAGACCCTTAGTCTTTTGCTTGTGTTGGTTATAGTTGGAGTCAACCAACATGCAAGAAAGATTTGACTATGCTCCATCCTCCATGCAGTCTCACTCTTTTTGCTGCATTTTCCTATAGGACCAGTCTGCTTAAAACGTATTAATCTGGCAGGCTGGCTTTAAGATCTGTAATCTGTATATATTGTAGTGAGATATTCATGCCATAGTTTTCATGTCTGCTTTTGTCCGCCTTGACCCCTTACTTCCTCAGCCAGGAAACTAGCATTTGCAGAATAAGAAGTCAACAATGGCAGCCCCCCATGATTTCTCTCAGGTCTCCTTAAAATGGCATAGCTTAGCAGTAAGCATAGGAAGAAACATTGTGCTGTGAGCCAGAGTTGATAAAAGGCTAAATATTCATGTAGCATTTGTTATCCAGGAATGATAAGTTGTAGTAACATTTTCTTGATACTTGGAACAGGTTTTTCTGGATGAGAGAAGAGGGGAGCATTGCCTTCTGCGTTCGCCAGGATCGCGCTAGAAGGAAAAGATATAATTAATCATTTGATCGCAGTGTTTTCAGAAGAGAGCAGCTGCATGTTCATCATGGCACTGGAGCTGTACAGCACGCTCATGAATAAATCTGATCACTGATAATGTATTGCCTTAATATTCTTCTATTAAGTATATGGAGATTAAAGAAACATTATTTAGCTACATACAGAAGTGATAAAGTCTCAGCTTCTATTGTAACATATATACTGTGTATAGAAGACGGTGCAAACAATACTGCCTGCCAAGTGTTTTGTGTTGATAATGTGGACTATTAAAGTCCAACTCTACATAATTGTTATTATTATTCAGGATTTATAGATTGCCAACAGTTTGCACTATATAATGTTGTGAGTTTTGTTTTGTGTGAATACCACTGGGAATCATTCTTGTTATTTTAGTAGTTTGTGTTTCCCGTATCTGTTATCAAGATGTCACTAGAAGCTCTATATTATTGATCATTTATCAGGGGAGCGTGGCACCATCTTTTGGCTTTGCAATGACTTGGAATTCTGGTGGAGATATCTCCCCCTTCAACCTCTGAGATATAGAAAAAGTCAGAACCTGAATTACAGCAACCATACTGACTGAAGTGTCAGATTTCAGTTGGGGTGACATTAAAGGTGACAGTTCTAGGGTGTTAAACCACCAGATGAATGAAAGCTGTTTTCGTGAAAAACTAGAGAACATATTAATAAAGCTGTAAATTCACCAAAAATTCACTGGTGGTTAAAGGGTTTCTAAAGCCTCCGGTTTTTTTTTGCATATATCTACTGCTAGCAAGCGCTAGATATATGCAAAAAGTTTTTATTTTAAACGCTTTAAAAGAGGTTTAAACTTACCGCTGCCTTTGCCGCGCACTCCCGTCCGAAAATCTGAAACTGCTCGGGCAGGCTGCAAAGCATCTTGGGGCGGGCGCATGCGCAGTTTGGATTTTCGGCCAGGAGATGAGGAGAGACGCAAGGTAAGTCTATGGACGCGTGCACCCGCATGCAGACACCGTGGGACAGGAAGTGCCAGCAAGGACAGAGGAGTTAAATTAATTTGAGATCTGACACTTCCAGCAATGTCGGAACCTACTGTGTGCCAGCTCCCCCCTAAAGCTATGTCATGGCTCACGCTGACAATGACAGTTGAGCTTCTCCAGAGCGGTCTGCAAATGGAGAGACTCGGGAGCTGGAGTCCCATGGTGGACACACCTCCTTGTAAAGTCTCATGCTGATACCAGTAGCCTGATAGTAGAATGGTTGCTGATGGTTATGTTGATGAATGGACATTCTTTTCAAAAGTCTAAACCTGAAGTAGCCAAACGTCAGCCTTCCAGATGTGGTGAAACTAGAAATCCCATAAGGTATTTGCCTCTTGGAGTCATGCCTGTAACTGACAGTCTTGAAATGCCTTAAGATACTTCTAGTTCCACAACAGCTGGTGGGCCAAAGTTTGGGAACCCCTGGTCTAAGCAAATCCATACGCTATGCTGTGTATCACATTCTCCTGACCAAACTGCTGATCATTGCTGTGTAGTCTGCAAATATTTTAATGAAGTTCTGCCTAAAGGTAGGCTCAGACCAGTTTAATGTACTGGTCAACGTATCCTGAAAAGTGTTTAATGATCTTCGGTAAGAAGGACATGCAGACACACATGAAGGCCTCATCCACTGGAGGCTATTATGTATGGCTGTGGAATCCTGTGGCAAGAACCTGCAGATTCTGGTTGCAGGAATCCCAGGTAGGTCTGTACAAATGTGGATGTTTTGACCGATCAAGTGAATGACAGGCTGACAGCGGGCACATCTGTTTGTGGCTGTCCACATATAATCATACATGGAACATTTGAAAAGACGTTACAGACATATACCCTGGCAAGATGGTCACAGACTGACTATCACTTTAGCATAGAGTAGATCATGCACGCAGGTTATAAGATGAGGTCAAATTCAGACGTGCATTCAATACTAGAAAAGTGATGGCTAGCATTGGGTAGGTTAAGTTAGCGTAGTTTAGTGCAGGCCCTGCCCTAAAAGGAACTAGCTTGTTATGGTAGACTTCAAATCTTTGGGCCAAAAATTAGCCAATGAATGAGAAAAAAAATAATTTCTCTCTTGAGCGTTTCATTTTGGCCATTAGATTAAACCAATGTAGCACTCCCTTACCCATGGGAGACGGATGAGAACCCTCAAGTGGCTTGGTGGTCTACCATCTCAAATCTCAGGGACAAATCCCTGAATCTTTGTGGGGCAAAATAAATTGGGCGCCATTCACTTTTGGAAGCCTTACTCATGCTCTGTATACAACAAATATTGCTGTGTATTGTCTGGGGCCCAATCTGCACTTTCTCTAGCAGGCACTCATATTCTCGCTGACATATAGTAACTTAACGTGGTAGATAACCTTGCAACTTCCTTATACTCTTACCTGTGTCACTACAGCACCAAAACTGAGGCTGAGCTCTCCCCCCCCCCAGGGGTCTCCTATGACATCTATAGTGCAAGAATAATTCCAATGCAACAGGTAAGCTAGTTCTAATATCTGTCAGTCATAAAGTACCTGTTAGTCCCTTTTTAAAGATAAATTTTTACCCATTTGCAAGACTACTGATTCTCCATTACCAGTTTAAAGCCCAACTCCAACCATTTTTTTAAATGAGATTTGGTTAGATTGGTTAGAGCAGAGGAGGGTTAGAACTTCCCTCTATCTCAGATTGCTGTTTCTGTCCCCTTAGGGGAGACTTTCTCTCCCTGCTTGCTTTCCGTGGCACATAATAGGAGGTGAGGTTCTAAATCTTCCTGTACGCTACTAAAAGACAGTATTTCATTGCTTTTTGTGCCCCCAATGGGGAAAATACCCCTCACTTCCTGTTCTGTTTGACATTTGTCAAATACAAAGAGAGAACAATTCTCTCCAACAGGAACTTAGGCTGCAATAAAAATTCCACGGTTCTGGCCCTTCCCTAATCAAAGAAAAAGTTTGTCTGGAGTTGGGCTTTAAGGAACTTTAGCAGTTGTTCACAGTTTATAAGATATTCAGGAAATGAATCAGCATCAACTTCTATGCACTTGCCAGTTTTTAAATCCTTTACACATGCATTTCCATATACCCCACGGCTCCATCGAATTAATACAGAACTAATTAACTCTCATAATCTTAATATGGGATTAATAAAAAATAGAAATAAGGAAAGGTGGAACTTAAATGATTCCCACCCCATTTATTATTTCAAACAATCATAATCGATTATTTTTTTTGATACATATGTATATATATATATATATATATATATACATACACACGCAGTATATTATTTAGTATGTTGAGGAGAAATACTAAATGCTAAAAACAGCTCCTTGTTGACGCATATTGATCTTCACTGAGTTCTACACCTGTTCCTGCAGACGTACTGAGGAAATGTGCTGGTAAACAATCAGATGGTGTTATTTAAATTAGTTGTAAATTTTCTGAAAATATGGTGTTTTCAAGGAATATGTCATTAATTGCAATATATCTAATAATGTATCTTAAATAGCTAGTCACCAAATATAGCATTTTAAGACATAGACACCCTATGGTAAGAGCTGAATGAATGTGTATCCCAAAATAAATACTTAATGCCAGGGTTGGAGGGGGGAGATTTGCCTCCTGGACCATTAGTAATAAAGTACATTGGACTAGTTTCCCAGCGTATCAGTCAGAATCATGACAGTGTACCCAGGGTGTTCCAATAAACCATGTTTTTAAACACCCACCTATCATGGAGGTAAGGGAGCCTCTGTGTCACCAGGTTAAATGTTGGCCCTAAAGAGGCCGAGACACAGGGTCTAGGGAACCACCTAGTCTTTACAAGAGCACCCCAAAAGAGATGATGGGCTTTGCTATGGACAGCTCTGGACAGAAAGGAGGCTTAGTACAAAGCCTGCTCCAGCAGTCAAGGGGATGGCAAAACAGGCAAAAGATCAGGGCGGGCAGATAACCAGGCAGAGGTCATAAAGTGCCATCAGAACTGGAACGGAAATCATGGGTACAGGAGCCTGGGAACAGATACTCAGAGAGGTCTTTGCTCTGGCAACTCCCAAGTCAACTGGGCAGGTTTAAATAGCTTTCCATGGCACGATCTTAGAAAAATTGTCCAGCAGCACTACTCATTAAGAACTAGCAAGGGGTGTACAAGAGCATCCAAACACACTGCCCGGAAAAAAAACCTAGGGCAAGTTTCTGGGGAGTTTGAAAGTGGTTGCATAAGATGAAAAGGAATCAAACATGAGACCTTGGTATGAAACAGTAGATTGATACTCCAGAGACTCAGCTACAACATGAATAGCTGTGTACAGTGACCCAGCTGGCTTTGGAGACAGCAAACTGTAACACTGTACCCACCAATCAGTCCGGTATCATGGCACATACTGCTTGGTACACTTTCTTTGGCCTACAGAAATTTGTCCCTGACTTCCTAACATGAAAGGGCTTACCTTCCAGGTCAAAGGTTCCCAGTCCACCCCTGCTGGGGTCGTATCATGTAATGTATCTCTCCAAAGGAAGGTTGAAGTATAAAGAAAGCCCAAACTTTTTTTTTTTTTTTTTTTTTTTGGGTAGAGAAGGGAAGAAAAGGAATTAAAACTTTTCTTGCTGTTTGCAGCCCACTGTGGATGTTTTTCTTCACTTACACTGACATGACTTACCTAAAACTGAACGTAATTGTACAGACAGAAAAACTGGTAAAACAATAACGTTAAACCCACCCTGTTGTTTACTTATTGAATCAGGCCGGCAAAGCTTGTTTCCAAGTGTCTTATCAAGACAAGGTGTGAGGACAATCAGACTGCAACAAAAATACTTTTGTTAGAGAGGGGGAGAAGGGTTGGAACCTTTATTAGGTTCTATTGTTTCATCCCCAGTCACAAGATTTGCTATATTCCTGTTATGTCACCCGACCAGGAAGTGAGGGGAAATCTCCCCAAGGGGACACAGACAACTATAACTGACCACAATTAAAACCTGACAGATCTATCCCTTCCCCTTTCTATCCAAAACTATTTTATGTTTTGGAATAACCCCCCTATTAACTACTAAAAACCCATCTGAATGGGCAATCTAATCCCTGCTGAAAAATGAACCTAATAGACCCTGAAACACATTGGATTGTCATATTTCTTATCTTTGGCCTTCTCTAGTGAAACAAATATACTTAGACACCTATGATTCTGGCGCAGCACTCTTATTCTCCTTGCAATTTCTATTGTTCTCCTGAGGGACCTTTGTGTCTCATTGTGTTTGAGA